CATCATCTTCGACTTTAATTTACCGAGGTAGAGTGCAGGTCTCCACGTTTTGGCCGCGACATTGCACCCGCTGTTGCCCATATAACTCGGGTAGTCGCTTCAAAAATCAAAAGACACCCTGGTGAACACGTCCTACCCCGCGCATCCGCATCCCTCATACGTAACTCACTCTCTCGTTTTCTTTCTCTCTTCCTCCCCCTCTATCTCTCTCATCCTCTCCGTCCTTCTCTTTCTCTCTCGCTCTCATTCCCTGTCCCACCAGACCGCCACCAGAGTCGCGCCGATGTGGTGCTCCCACTCTAGCTCTGAACTCTGGGAAGTCACACGCACACATCGGCAAATAACGCCCACGCGGCCTGCACGGTAGGCGTGGCCATCTTGTCATTTGTCTCCTCTACTTTCCCCGAGGCGTTAGGGGATCCCCGGGATGGCGCTCTGTTCCTAGCTTGACGTATGTACTGCCGCTACAACCCCCGTTTTCGTATCGCGCTCTTCGTTTTCCGCGCGCCCGCCGCCGCGTTCTCCTCCATCGAGTGCTTTAGAGTCGCGTCCTCTTCCCCCCTCTACCCCCCCCCTTCCCCGGTGCCGTCGGTAGTTACTCTCCGTCTCTTTCCGTTTTTCCTTTCCGTCCTCCCTGCGCATCCGTCGTTTTTCTTCCACACACTCTCTTCCTCTATCTCTCTGGAAAATGTGCTCCCATCCCCCGCCCCATTTCGTTGCGTGACAACTTCTTGACGCCAGTCACGACGTCCACGGCTCCCTTTGCTGACGACGATTCTCTTACGAGAATCACGCGCGGCCCACTTCGTCTCTGACCCTTCCGCGAGCCTTGCTCCCCGCCGTCGTAAGAACGAGTCGGGCGCCGTCATGTCTACGAAGTAGTCACCGAGAGACTTGTAGGTTATTCGGCTGACGCAATCGATATAATACATGAAAAATGGACGAGACACTAAATGCAACTTGCAATTGGGCCGATCCTGAAGCTCCGAGTTGTCGGGAGACGTAGATAATCTTTCCCAGAAAATACCAAGTTACATGTAACGTATACCGTTACATTGTTGTAATTTCCCCACTCAACAATATAACTATAACATAACACGTGTATTATATTATAGTTATATTGTTGAGTGGGAAATTTATACAACTAACAGATACGTTACCTGTAACTTGGTGTTTGTCGGGTTTCCTATATTTTACTTCGTTTCTCTCACAAATTTTAACTATAAGTTCCAAATGCTACGTAAAAACAAATATGATCTTATAGGCTTTTGACATTTAAATAGCAAAAAAGATCTAAAACGATTAATGTATTTAAATCTTTGTCTGTTCCATTCAGAATTTTTTTCAATATATATGCACAATGTTATTAAATGTGATACGCCTCGAGATTATCATGTTCTACTGACAATGCTGTTTTTCCTAAAGGAGAATAAAAAGCCATCGCAAAAAAAGTTCCGACGACGGTATAATAAATTCTGAGATCAATCACGCGTGAACGTTGGACGATCAATCGTATCATTTAGCAGTAGATTAAACAGTCGGGAATACGCTTTTCCTCGACAACGATTGCGCAGATATGCCCGCAGTCGTAAACTCCTTATGTTGAGGTACAACCTCTCGAAATCGAATAGTACGCCCAATATAAACGACTTCAGACGTCACTGCGGACCGATATTTGCTCCGACCGCGATAAGCCGAGCGATAACTGCGTACTAGCAATCCCGATTTTGAATAGAGCCGCAAACTTTATTTTCAGTTTTACGACACATGATTGTAAAATTACGGAATAAATTATATCTATTCAGCGATTATATTTAAAAACAATAATAATTTACGAATAATATTATTAGTAGAAAAAATAATAAATAAAATACCGAATATTATTTGCGATTTTTAATTGCCAACGAATTTCAACGCTTCAAATAATAGATAATTATTAAGAATAAAATTTGTAAGCCAAAATTTACAATAAAATTTTCTGACACTACTCCTGATACTCCACTTTATTCGCTTGTATGAATCGCGTGCAAGAGACGCAGTAAGATTGACTTCTTGCAATAGCGCGGGGATATACCTAGGGTATCCTTGTTTTTCCTTTCCTGTTTTATTTGCGCGTGAATTTTCAAGTAAACAAATGGTGATATAACGATGCATTTCTTACGAAGGCGAAGGGTAATCGCCGAGACTAACTCCGCCGGTCGCGGTGGTGGTGGGATCGCGATCTCGCGTGGTCAAGGCGCTACGAGGTCGACCGGGAGAAACAACAAACGATAATCGTCATGGTATGGCAAGATCCGCAAGATCGCCGGTAGTTCAAGAGAAAAGAGGAAACGCCACCACGTGTGCGTGTGCGTTCGCTCGAAGGGGCAAGCACGCCGACCACCGTCGCTACCGTAGGAGGGGCAACTCCGGGTCAAAGGTGGGGTTAAAATCCGAGGGTGGGGATGGACCGAAAGGGATGCGCGTTGATGGTGACACTGGAGCGTTAACCGGTGTGACCGCCTTGGGTATAACTGATGCAACGAAAAGAGACGCGAAAGATCGTGGTGACGTAGAAAATTCTATTGTAGCAATAATATTGTAACATTATAGTGAGATGGCCGAAGGCGGAGAACTAGCGGGAAGAGAACAATGACGGATTGGGGGCACTTAAGGAGTTACTATTGCCGCAGACTAAATTCACGAGGCGGAAATTCGGCGCTAGAGATCGCGCGAGAAAGGAGGATGCAGTGGGAAAGAAGCGCCATGCGATTCTCGAAGAAGGGATGCTGTGCGAGAGAAAGACGCGTGGAGGGGTTGGCTGGAAGGAGTGCGGAGGAGGGACAAGATGACTGTGTGTAAGAGATCGCGAGGTGGCGGGCGAGAACCCGCGCGCTACGTGGACAAGGATGCACACGACTGAAGCGGGAGGATACGAATCGGCGAACAAACGGTACCAAGAGAGACGCGATCGCGATCGGGGTGAGCCGAGGGAGGAAAGGAGCGAGCGGCAACGCGAACACAGGCGTGAGAGATCGTGCCAAGGGGAGCGCGAGCGGTGCTAGAGAGCGAGGGATGCCAGTGACGCCGCGAGTACGAGCGAGATGTGGTAGGTGGGGAGTCTGCTCCGGGTGTGGAGGCGAAGAGAGAAGGAACGCGGATGGAGGGGAGTAAGAGCGAGCGAGCCGGAGGGAGAGGCGCAGTCAGACAGTCAGGCAGGCCGCCCGGCAAGCAAGGAAGGCAGGCAGGCAGGCAGGCAGGCAACTAGGCAGGCAGGCAGCCAGGCAAGCAAGCTAGCAGGCAGCCAGTGCACCAGCCAAGACCACTAGATCCGCTCGGCTTACCGACTTAGAGACTTAAGCCGGCAGGCAGTCCGAAAGGCTCAACCGGCTAAGCCTGGCGGACCCACCTACCAACCGACTTACGCGGCGCTAGCCACTACGACGCGTTTCATCTACCGGCGGGAAAATCAGGATACACCGCTGCGACCGGCGGTACCGCCGCCGCCTTCTTATATTTTCCTCTACCGCCGTGTCCCGCTCCGCGCGCTTCTCCTCTCTGACACACGTTAAGGGCCGGAGGTGCGAGTAGTGACGAGTGCTTGCGCGGTCATCATCATCGGCGCGCTCGTACCGACGACGACGACGACGGCGGCGACGTCGACGTCGTTGCCCGCGGCCGCGGCGTCTGACGACGGTCGCGGGTAGGAGATCCTCGTCGTTCTCGTGCCACGCGTCGCTGTAAATCGCATGTAAACATTCACGCAGTGTGGAATTTCCGGAGTGGAGAACGACAATTCAGAAGTGGTGGAATAGTACAGGTATAATCATCGTATAGTGTCGCAAGGGTGCCGTGCTCGTTCGTCGCGTGCGTCTAATTACCGGCGTGACTTTGATTGGTGACAGAAGCTGGATGCCGGCTATTGGTGAACGTCTCGCCCGAAGAGAGTGGGTGACGAGAGTAGTGGTCAATGTAGTGCTGGCTATATTGTCAGGAGTCTTGATTACCTTGTCGTCTTAATGTAGCAACAAATTGCGAACAAACTTGCTCGACGAACGGAGATAGATTTTGGAACTTATACGGAACACATAAAAAAAACGTGAAGAAGAATCGTGACAAATCGTGACAAATATTCGATTTGAAATCAAAGAGAGAGAAACGTAAGCGAAAGTTCAAAAGATAAAAACGGTGGAAGAGCAAGAGTGGTAGATGAGTTCGTCTACCTCAGGCGCGAAAGATAATGAGAATGATAATGCTGGTAGTTTAACCCACTTAAGCGACGTATTTTATAACTCTTCTCGTTTTTTTTCTTACGTAATACGACGACATTGAACCGACGGTTACCTAATTTCTCTCCTCAAGTCTCTCCGCGTCACAGCGCGCGTGTCGTCCACGTGAGTCCGCGCGCTGTTTTTCGGAGTCCTGGCGTGTATTCGCAATATACCGTCCACGTATTCTCGTCGGTCCATCTGCGGATGCCGCCAGCGCGAAATGTCGCGCGTACACGCTTATCTCGCTGCCGACGCTCAAGAGAATTGGAGCTGAACGCTAGCGGAAGAGTGCCGACGGTATAACGAGTGCACTGCGACCGTCTCGGGAAAAGTTGCACGAGTATATATTTCTTTACAACCACCTATGTCGAAAGAGTCCATCGATCTCGTTATTGATTACATCGACAACCGTTGCGCATTACATTATTCTCGACTGGTAAAAACTTCGACGAGATTCGGTGTGTCAAAATTCTCGTGACAATTTTACTGTTCTCAAAAAAGAAAAAAAAACGAACCGCTTGATGTTCTCGACTGGTAATCGCCTCTAAAGAAACAGTCACGCGGATTCTCGTTGACGGCGATAACGTTACTTCCGATCTACGAGACAGGGAGGACCACTTGAATGTGTCCTTAGAAGGAGGCGGCGGACAAACCGGCGTGATTCGCGCTGATTCGCGGCCTCTCGCGGGCCAGGTTGATCGTGTCACCAAGTTGTAAGGAACAGTCAACACGACGTTAACCTTCTACAGTATGGAGCGGGGCGGCGGGGCCGGGGGGAGCCTCGAACTCGCCGGGGGCGGTGGCGGTGGCGGCGGAGGCGGCGGCGGTGGCGGCGGCAACGCGGATTTGTGTCTGCAGGACCTCGTGATCGGGCCGACGAGCAGCCTCTCGGTGCAGCATCATCAGCACGCGGCGACCGCCACGATGGCCGGCCTGCACGGCGATCATCTTCAGGGCACGATGCACCATCACGATCTCCACGGTAATTCGCATCACGACACCTCGATGCTACACAACTCCAGCCACCAGCTGCATCACGAGCCGCTGGAGAAACTTAAACGTGGTGAGTCGTTCACAATACTATAAAGACTACCGGCACCTCGCAATCGTCATTGATTGCGACGAATTTGAAGTGATCAGTAGTTTATGCGAAATTATTTATGGATCGTGATGTATCGTCCGCCTATTTCTACGGACAAACACGGTGTACCCAGTACAAGAATTAATTTATACTTGTTGTATAAGTGTTGTAGATTTTTACTAGATTTCATCGCTGTTAATTAAACGAACTAAAATAAAAAATTATTACTTAATCTGGAATCAACTAAGTTTCAGTTTGTAAAAGCTAGTTTTGAATGATTTAGTATTATTTTCTCGTAAAGCAATATAGATCTACTTTGATAAACCTATGCTATAAATCCTCAAAAAAAATTACTATAATTTTCTAAAGTAGAAATGATACTTTTTAAATCAGCATCAGAATAAGTTGTTTCTATCTAAAATTGTTTTCGTGCGTCAGTTTTTAAATCAACACAGTGATATATACATCTGTATGTATCAAGATATTATTTTAAAATTCCATGTAAGATTCAATCGAAATGTTGCTGCATAAAATACATGAGATGCAGCAAATCGAATCGCGATTCTGCGAGATCATAAAAGGATTAAGTGCGATAAAGTCCTGGTAAAGTGGCTTCGCAAATGAGTCCGGTAATTACAATCGACGTGTTCTCTCCGTGTATCGATTCCGACAAGATATGGAGGTTTGCTTTTTCCACTGTCGTCGCATCGCACACGTTATCGCGATGTAATCGCTTGTAGCCGACTTGTCACAATGCTTGATTTTATTGTTGACGATACTATCGATCCTCATTTATTCGCGCGATAAGTAACCCGACGTTTTTCCTGACTCTACGCCGCGCGAGTGCCCGCGCATTATCGTGCGTCTCCGCCGAAAATCTCGTATCACGGATGTGTCATTTCCAAAATAAGATTGATACGAGTGACATTGCACAAAAGTGGGGAAAACTCTCGCCGTCGCCCGCGACACAAACGCGCCGCGACAAACAGAGCCGTGACGCGCAAACAATTGGAGCCGGTGAAATAATTCGGCGAGAAGAACGGGACGTTTTTGTTCGCGATCGGCGTGATTCAGCTTGACAAATCGCAACGTGACGCACGATCTGAAATATTCAATTACACCTCGTCGCCCCGATAAACGTCGATAAGAAGGCAAAATTTAATATGTTACGTCTCCCCCGTTGCGCTCTTATCAAACGATTTGTAATTCAGATGCGTTCGCTGCAAACGCTCCCATTTCTGCGGGAAAAAACCATCGAAACCAAGTGAAAATATTATTTCCGTTTTGATGGACCGCTAACCAATCATAATTTATCATTTTATCGTACATGCAAGCAAATCTCTCAAACAATGATAGCCGTTTGATAAATAAGTATATAACCATTAAGCAAATTAAAAAGGCAAAGTCAATAAACGGATTCTCGAGCGTTACTTAGAGACGAACTATTTGAATCTCTACTTTTTTTTCTTTCTTTTCAATCGTAATATCAGAAGAGACTCTTGTCTGATGAAACGACATTGATTCTTGTCAAGTGCCAGACAAGTATAGATAAAATTAATCGAATAACTCTGATAACCACGACTCTCGCAATCGAGTTGTGTTATTTTATTCATGATATGAAGCAGCATGATAAAATTTCGGCTGTTAATTTCGGCTGCGCCGTCGCCAAAAACTTAAAAAATTTCAACCTGCTACATGCTTACCTATTTTTACCGAGGATAAACAATTTAAACACTCCATTATGACGTAAATACTTTCATTGAACATATTACTTCATATTATTTGAAAAGATTTTGTTCTCATATTACCCTCTTTTACGCACTCTTCTGTTACAAAAAATATTTCATTTAACATACAAATAAATTGCATTTATATATAAAACCCGTGGAAATTCTTCTGTAAAACTTTGACCGAGGACATTGAGGATATCCGTCGAAACGGACGAGTCAAAGTCGAGTTTCATAACGCTGGTCGTTCATTGTAATGTAGTGTCATTCGAGCGACGGGCGAATTCAGTGGCACATACGGCGATCGGCGTCGAAGACGACGAAGACGATCCTCTCTCTCGTGGCAGCGCCACCACCTGTTTTGTGATTCATTAACTCACCGGCTTATCGGGATAAGGTAGACTTATCCGGGGCTCGAACCCGACACTGCGGCTAAACCCGATCTTATTCCAATGGCATCCTACCTATCCCCGTTTCGGTTCCAGTCCTAGACTCGCGCCAGTGACTCCCACCATTTAGGATCGCGGATACCTCTGAGAAGAGCTTCATTTTTCTCGTGAGTGTATCGAATTTTCTTTGCGCTCGCTTTACCGACAATAAATCGTATACTCGCGTATGTATAAGGTAAATGGATTCACGAGGACGGATAAATTTGTTCGTTTCGACTTACGAATCCGTACAGGAGGGTACAAAACTTTGTTGTATGCAAATTTAGTTGTATATACAAACATTAAAGTTTATAATTATTAGAAGGATTATTCACAATACATTGCCTATTTTCCTCCCAAGCATTGTGCACTCTCAATGATTTTTCATTTAACTGCCCCTATCATTACTCGAGCTGGCTCACTTTCGCATTATTTGTCGCCGCGCTTGATCGGTCAACAGGTAGGACATTGATAAATTCAAAGCGGTCGCGGGCGAATTAAAATTTCTATCGTGAACGCTACCCCACATATTATTGTCATTAATATCGCGACGGGATTACGCGAGCTCTATTAATATCGGCACGTCGATGGAAATTAATGCCAGCGTCGACCGCGATAAAAGCAATGCCGCCCCCTAATGAAAATGATGATGCGGAAATAGCGACGCCCGATCGGGCGATCGGATCGAGATTGCAAGCGAAAATTCGGCAGGAAGAATCGCTGCGGAAAATCTGTTATCCCCCTCCGCCGACGGGGAGGCTCAATATTTTGTCAACAGGGCGGCATACGGTCGGCTCCGATCTGCGCGGCCCCCGTTAGTCATTAACTACCCCTTTATTATCGCGCGCGGCCTTGCGATCGAGCTAGCAGATGCGTCGACGTCCACCCTTAGCGCACCCCTTCTTCCCCTTCCCCTCCCCCGGACTAATGGTGTTGACAAATTGCTCGGCTAGCCTCTAGCCTCCCCGGGGAATGCGCCCGCAAAAGTCTCCTCGCCGCAAACTTATGGGCGTTTAGACGCGAAATTGAACCGCGTCTCCCGCAGATCGCGATTCCTGCATGCGGGATAAACTTTGTCGTGAGCAGCGGTCTCGAATGAAACTTCGAATTCCCGAACGTGATGAAAACAAAAGGCGAGAATTGAAATTCGTGTTTCTTGAAACTCTGTTTCATTGCATTTGTGACCCGCATTTAAAATCTCAAATAATACAACTAATAATAACGGCTAATCTTATATGCGTATAAGTATGAAACGAAAGTTACGCATAAGTGTGAAATATGATATTGTATTTATATAAATAGATAGCAATTTACTTGTAAAGTTATTATAAATCGCGTATAAATTTAAAAAAAATTTTTGCTAGTAATGACGCTAGTTAGTAACGTTAATTTTTGAATCGTATAACGGGACAATTAGCAAATGTACTTTTTTGTATTCCACACGATTGCTTCTTTGAACCGTTCACGATCGGCGGGCGCGATCGGGTCTTTCGATGAGCCGCGCTGATGTTCTGGTTCGATTTTCTCGATCAGCCAGCCAATCGTGGCGATCCTTTAAGCGCCCGGGACCGAACTGGTGGGATCAACATAGAAATGAACTGATTTCCTTCCCATTATCTCAGCTGCTGCGGTAAGGCAGGTCCCTGTCTACCTCAACAACGAGGTTTTGTGTACTCAGTGGGCTCCGATCGCCGTCGGCTGGGGTAGGCTCATTCCCGGAGGGTTGTCTCGCGGACAAAATTCCTGTGCGTGCCGATGTGTGAGAACTGAGCGGTGACCGGAATGTGTAACAAATGTCATGATTGTTAAAACAGGTGCTATCGTTGTAATTGGAGAAGTTATATTATTAAAACTTTCATAAAATTATTTCTAATTAATAAATTCTATTTTTTTTACGGCAATTTTGTATTCGTTCACTCTACGTTTTATTCTAGCAATTGAATAATCTATTAATTTATTTTATTATAATTTAGTTAAATTAATATCGAATCGGGGGAAATTGTCCAACAATTTAGAAATTATTTTTAAGAAAATCCTTCGGAAAAACGATACAAGCTGATTTCTCAAGAATCTTGTACAAGAAAAAAATATGTTACGCCGAAAATTCATAATTTCTCATTGTAATAGGATGATCATTCCCGATCGTTTGTTCCCGGCCGTCTTCTCGAATTCTGACACCCGAGTTTTAGGGAAGCGCCAGGCAGTCTGAATCCTTAGAACCTTTCATTCTTTAGAATTTTTCGAAATATCCTCGTCACGCCCCCGAAAGGAGCCACTCGTACTCGAATTACTCATCCGTTCCATGTGCTTTCTCCGCACGTCAAGATGAAACTAAACAAATTGCTTGACAAGCGATAACGAACCCCATTCGCAGAATCGCTCCCGACGTTTCTGTCTCACAGACAAACAAACTAATCGGTTGCACGGTCCTCGTGATTCTCTCTATCGTGACTAGATCCTCCACGCAGGACAAAACACTCTAGGATAATCTTTTTTGAGCACCTTGTACAATTAGGCGATCTCGAATCACACCGTGAATCGTTAGCGCATGCATCAAAATTTGTAAGAGTTCTGTCGATGCTAATAGATATTAGAAAAGTAGAACGAAGAAAATTAGATGTTAAAATTTCTATTAGAAATACGCTGGAGGATGAAAATATCTATTGGAATCTTTATTTGCATTTTTTATCTTCCAACGGTATAGATCCCTGCTAACAAGACCTATCGGCGTGACGTAGCGCACGAGTGTCTTTATGTATTTATAGGCTCGGCGATTTTAAGACTCCGGATACAAAATACTTTGCCCCGGGTGACGCATAGCGCC